GTGGTTGGACTGTTTGAGGGAAAGGGATGCCATAGACTTCAGTAAATCTGTTGACACAAAGTTCCCTTTGGAAGGAACGGACTTTTTGCCAATTCCTATACCAAAGGCTTTTCAAGACTCAAAGTATATTAAAGGTTTGAATTTTATTTAAAGTATTTACAAAATAATATATAAATTGAAATAAAATAAAATAATTATTTACATATTTGTATTCATTGTCATAGACTTAGACCTAATGTCTGGTGTCATGAGGAATGAGGGATCAATACTAGCATATGGAGCTTTTCCGCAACTGCACCGTAATATCACTGATAAAGACTTTGATGATATGGTTATCATAACAAACCAGTCATACCATGGATTGAAGTTACAAAGTATTAGACAATTTTACCTCAAAGATGACCACAAAAATCACTCGTCGGATGTGTTAAGGCAAGCGTTTTACGCGTTTTACGGCGATATTGACATCAAATGTCCGACATATCTAACGGCCAAACAATACGCAAATTATGGCATCAAAAGTGGTTCAAAAAATAGGGTTTATTTCTATGAACTGACATATGAGTCAAAATTCGCTAAATTCATGGGTTGTGATGAGCACATGGGTGTCTGTCACGCATCGGAACTGGAGTTTGTTTTTGGACTTCCCTTATGGGTCGACAAACTATATCCTAAAACTCATACCCAACTGGACGTGGATTTCAGTTTATACGTCATGAAACTGTGGACTGATTTCGCTAAATATGGGTATATTTATGAGTTTAATAAGCATATATTATATTTTTACCTAGAGTATTAAATTCTAATTTATTCATTAAATTCTACAATGATCTCACACTGGCTCACTAATTAAAAGTGATTCCATCATTCGAACTAGCTAGATATTCCCATATAAATGTAAATCTTTCCAAATCTCAAATTGGCCAAAAAGTAGCCTATAATCAATATAACATACTATTTACAACAGTCGACTTTACTGTAAAGCATTCATATTCACAGTATTTATATATTTACAAATTATTTACTGCTTCACAGTGTTGCATACATTAAGGCGATATAATTCATACTGTAGGCGCAAAAATATAGGCTACTTTTTGGCCAATTTGAGATTTGGAGAGATTTACTTTGATAATTATTTATTAAATTCTATAATGATAACTCACACTGGCTCACTAATTAAAAGTGAACCAGCTAGATATTCCCATATAATATTTCGTTATTTCCTTAATATTTAATATTTTGCTTACTACTACTGTATAGTAAACCGGATGACCAATGGCTGCATATATTGGATAATAATTTGATTAATGTTAAAGACTTGAATCCAATGAATACGAGTCGAGTATTGGATAATCCATTTGTTGACGATTGCGAAGACTTTTGGATCACTTATTATTTAAATTTATGTTAATTGGTATTATAATTATTAAATCATTTTGAGATTTCAAAAAGTATTTAAAACATTAATTTTATATTTAACTTTAATTTAATAAGAATGCTGATTTACGATATATTAAATGTAGATTATTTTAATATACTTTGTATTTAAGATAATGTTAGAAATGATATATTACTGATTATGTTATAAAAGCATATTACGAAAACATATCAAAATTAATTTGAATAAACTCTTATGAGTAATATGAGTAATGTAATATAATTGGATACTCTTATCCAATTTAATTTACATATTTAATTCATATTTCATTAAAATTAATCAGATGAATGATATTATAATACCATATTATAATAATATATGGAATAAGTTTTGTAATCTAGATATTTATTGAATATACTCTTTGATAGATATAATGAACACACATTGCAATTACACTTAATGTCATTTAATTGAGAGAGAAGTTGCACTTAATCTCAATTTTGAGTGAAAATAAAATTTATAAAAGTTTATCATAAAAAGCACCATGAAATGATAATAAGTACAGTTGTATAATAACATCAATTTAATGATAGATTAAACCCAAAATTGTTTGCATTAAGTTTTAAAGTCATTTGATTACAAATACAGTATAAAGAGGTTCACAGTATTTATTAAAATCAATAAATATCTGAAAGTGTTTTAAAAACTTTGTTCAATTGATTCATTGACCAGGAAATGGTAGACCACCAAAAGTCAGATGTGAAACACATCGCTGACATTGTGGGTGAATGGGGCAAATGGCAATTGCACCTGGTCAGTTTTAGCTTCATTCTATCGGCAGTTGGCGCTATCAATAACATGGGATATAGTTTCCACGCTTATGATAATGATTTTTGGTGCAGTGATGTTCCCGACGATTATCCGGTAAAATATTTTTTATGAGCAAAAATAAAATAATACTTTTATACCTTAAATTAATTTCTAATAAATAAAAAACAATAATTTTAGAATAAAACAAAAGACATGAAATGTTTTCAATTTATGAATCCAAATGAAACTTGTAATGAATGGCAATACGATCGGACAAAGTTTGAGAACTCTATTAATAGTGAAGTAAATGTTTATTTAATAAAACTTGTATAAAATATCACTAATATTAAAACAATAGTTTAATTTAGTATGCGACCGAGCTAATTTTGGGTCATTTTCGCAAACATTATATATGTTGGGGTACGTCATATCGGGACTGGTATTCTCGCATTATTCAGATAAATACGGCCGAAGGCCTATTGTATGGCTGGGATTCATAATAGAGTTGACGGGCATATTGTCGTGTGCCGTCTCACCTAATATTTATTTCTACTTAATCGGCCGTTTTCTGATGGGAATGGGTAGTTCTAGCAGGGGAATGGCTACCTATATAATATGTGAGTTAATGTACATGCTATTTGTAATTTGTAATTTTTATTTATTATTTAATAAATCAGTATTAGAATGTTGTGGACCTAAGTACAGGTCAGACATAGCTATTCTGAGTGGCATGGGTTGGGTCATGGGTTACGTTGGGATACCAGGGCTGGCGTATTGGCTGCAAGATTTTAGATACATGCAATTTGCGTCATTAATACCATTGACTGTAATGTTATTTTGGTTTTATTTTCTGTATGAATCCCCGCGTTGGCAGATAATCAATGGACAGGTAGACAGAGCGGAAAAGACTCTGAGAAATGCGTTGAAAATGAATGGCAAGTCTGACGATAATCTAAAAACACAGTTGTCTGAGCTATTTGAATATCTGCAAACGGTATGCGCTGTATCATAAAATATTAAAATATCAAATTCATTGTATATATAAAAATACCATAACTTAAGGTGCAATCAACTGAAAGTGCACAACAAAAATACACAATATTAGATTTACTAAAAACACCAAAACTTAGAAAAATATCATTTATATTATGGTTTTCCTGGATGACAAACGCACTACTTTACTATGGGATCAGCTTGAATATGTCTGACTTTGGCGGAAATTTTTACATAACCTTCCTATTGTCAGGACTGGTAGAGATACCTTCATACATACTGTCCGTCATATTCCTTCGCTTGATTGGTCGCCGAAAACTATATGCAATATTTATGGTCATCACTGGTGTCTCGTGTTTTGCGGTCATCCCGTCGACCACTGTATGGCTTAAAGTGATGTTTGCATTATTAGGCAAATTCGGAATCAACAGCGCCGCCAATGTGATGTCAGTACAGATCCCTGAACTCTACCCCACAGTCTTAAGGCAGAGGGGATTAGGTGTCGCGTCTGTCATCGGAAGGATTGGATCCATTGGCGCAACATTTATCAAGAATTTGGTAATAATTATATCAAATCGTTTAATAAAGTTAACATTAAATCAATGCTTTGTTTGACATATAAAGAAGGCCAGTACAGGGTTAACGCTGGTTATGACACTGTACGGTACCCTCACATGTGTCGGTGCCGTTTTGGGTCTACTTTTGCCCGAAACTAAGGGACGAGAAATTCCCGATACTATAGAAGAGGCAGAAAATGTGGACTCAATTCAATTGAATAGCATTAAGGATAAACAAAATCAAAATAATGGAAAATATTAATTAATAATTTTATTTTACATTAAACAATTAGAAATTCTTATCAAAATGTTTTTGCAGTTATTCAGTATAAATTAACAATGTAAATAATATAATAACACGATTTCTTAGTTTGTATCATTTACATGTAATCTGATACTTTAAAACATTTTGAATATGCCTTTTAAATTATGCATTTAATTGATATTTCATTAAAATTAATCACATAAATGTAATTGTATTATATTTAATAAGTTTGTGTCATATTTATATTATATGTCATATTTCAAATGACACTTTGTTTTGACGTGAATTTTTTGTCACAATTTTCTTCATTACATTTGAATCTCGTTTCTTTCAAATGAACACTACTTTTGTGAAGTAAATACACTTTTTGTGTAAACTGTTTGTAACATTCACTCCAATCGCATACATATTTCACATTTGAATGAACAGTACTATGTGTTTATATAAATGTTGATTATTTTTGAAACGTTTATTACAGTCATTATGATAACAATTAAATTGATTTTCATATGAATGTGTTAATTGATGATTCATTAAACCATATTTATTTGATTACTTGTACTGACATTTAGGCCAAAAACACCGGTAATAGTGATAAGTGTTAAGTGTATTAATGGTGTTGTGATTGGAAAGCATTTTATCACTTATTTTACATAAATTCAAATTGAATTGCAATTCATTGACAAATTCACTGCATTTTCGCATTTAATCCCTTCACACAAAACATTTGCATTTTATGACAAAAAACACTGAATTATGTCTAAACTTCGACACAAACCCTTAAAATGAGACAATTTCTCGATTCAGACTTCATTTCAATGAACACTTGATCGCTGAGTTTACACATCTTATACGAAATGAATACTTTATTTATTGTAAACTTTATTTAATAATATTAAATAAATACTGAATAATTTTAAGAGAAATGTAAATGCATGCATGTGTTGACCAAATGAAATTAATTTCATATTTTATTCAAATTTAGTGTTATCTATCACTTGTCTCTAGAGATAATTTACTAGATAATAGTCAGATAAATACAATAATATTGTGACCACTGCATACAGTAGTGTGCAAAAATGTATAAATATTGCTATTTACAGTGGTATTCATAAACAAATTGGATTTTAATCTGAGCTGGACCTTACATTGCATCTTAGCCCACTTGTCTAATCCCATTTCACAAAACCATCTTAACTCTTTATTTTAAAATTATCTTAAGTTCAGTCCGATGTGAGCCCATACACTTTCATAGAGGAAGCCTACTTACAGGGATAAGTTTGATCGGTATGAGACTTAAATTTTTAAGTTTTAGACATTGTTTTAAGGTGCAGCTCAGATTAAATG